GCTGCAGGATCAGGGCCCGGCACAGATCGTCTGGAAGCAGGCCAGACTTCGTTTTTGAAGCAAACAGCAAAGGAGATATCGTTTTTGCAGAGATCAGGGCCGAGCACCAAGAATAAGCGCCATTTAGTCGAACACAAGCTTTTCGGACAGGTTATCACACGATTGACATGCTCTATCGTGCATGGCGAAAAGTGCGCGCGATTTGAAAGCGAGGCTTAAATAAACAAATTGCTCGTTTGCAGCGCACACAGAAGCATATGACACCAAAATTGAACTGTATGTGTAGAAAATTATTTGCGGAAGGATTATGTAAAAAGATTTGGAAACTTATGTGAAGTAATACCTTTTCCAAAATTAGATCGTCTCCAGACGGCCACCAGACGATCTGAGATCGTCTGGAGCATATATTTTTGTCACTTCACATAAGTTTCGGATCTTTTTAGCATGGACAGATTCCCCGGCCCAAAATCTATCCCTGAGCATGAAGACATTTTCATATCATTGCCTTTCCTTTTTTTTTGACCTTCATCTTCTCGCTTTGTTAAATATCGCGCTCTAATGCCAAAGTCTTGTGCATGTGTAGTTTTCAGCTCAAATTTGGATTTTTACTCTTATCTTATGTCTTTTCTTTCAGACTAGTAAATCTTTCTTGTATTCATCTTCTCCTAAGCAGGTTGGTCAAAGGGGACTTCGTAAAACTTCCGAAAGTCAGGGGAGACTTCGTTTTCAGAAAGTCTAGAAATCGACTCGTGCCGGGCCCTGTGCAGGATGATGACGGAGTTACCATGAGCAGGATCAGCTCATCTTCGGTGCAAATTGAGTGCAGATTAACGTTGTTGCCATTTCATGACCTCTCATGAACTCCGTCAACTAGGTGGCGGCAGCCTTATCGGTAAGTAAGTTCCCTCACCCTCATGGTTTATCATCTCAGTTTGTGCACACTAGTTAACAATTGAACTACTTGTTTTTTACCGTATCAGAGGTTAAGTTTTTGCGTAATCTAATCTGACTCAGTTCTTGCCAAAACACTACGACTAAACACTGTGCAGCGTCAAAGTCCTGGAACAGAGATAACAATAACATATTTCTCCACGTATTTGGAGGCTGGTATCTTATTGATCACTAATGTGATGGAAATTAGGGGATTCAACGAGAATTTTTGGCATTTTCTTGTGGAGGCTGTCTCTGAGGACGGAGAGATTTCTTTTCAATAGTTTCATAGCTTCATAAAGTCATTATTGAGCTATAGAAGTTTTATTTATTCCAACAAGAAGCAAAGAGGCGAAATGCTCATCAGTTGATTGATTCGGGCAATCGCGTAGAGTATTGACGACACGTCTTTCCGTTATGCCATTGTACTGAATTGATACATAAGTCGTGGACAAAACTTTTTTTTGAACATTCGTGACATCTGTCAGCTTCAACGACGTTTGATTCCAAACATATCAAAGAAAGGAAGTCTTGCGCTGCCTGAATCTGCTCAAATCATAATTTCTTGTTTGCATATCTCAACGATACGAGCTGATCAAAAGAGCACCCGAATTTTTTGTAATTTACGAAAATGCTGAAACATCTACTGATCCAAGTTTAGTTCGTTCTGGGTTTACCACTTCCTCTATCTACCTATGATGATTTCGTGCTGATTTAATTAGTGCCCTTGTACCAAGTAAAAAGCGCAAGCCTCCGTACGCCTGAACAAAGCCAACTCGTTAATGTATCATCTTCCAAAATGTAAATCCTACCTTTTTGGAACAAACGGTCAAGTGCAAACTTTTTTTTTGTATTTTTACTGCAAATGTCCTCCTGCTTTCACTCGTTATAGTGTACCCACTACCCACATTAAACACCGTGGAGTGCTGTAACATCTGCGCTTGCTCTCTATTCTTGAGCGGCTTGGCCCTATACGTGTCGATCAGCACTGGTGGCATGAGCAAGCTGGATATCGTTTTTGAGACAAAAAGCGAGCGGGATATCGTTTTCGTGGTTGAAAAAAAACACATTCAGTTTACGTTTTCTTAGTCGACGTTTCTTTATTGTGAGGGTTTTCTACGGTTTAGAGCCAAATGGGACTTCGTAAAATTATGGAAAAATTGAGGCGACTTCGTTCTCTGCATTTTCGAAAGTCGCCTCGTGCCGGGCCCTGGTTCCTTATAGGACGTTTCCAACTGCGCCGGGTATCCAATGTAGAAGTAATCGTCAATGTTTTGGAAATTGATTTTTTCACGTGTCAACAGAAAACATGTTTTATTTTCGTTTCGGTGAAATGATGTAGCTTAAAGGCGGCGTACACCCAAAAATTTCATCTTCCATGTTTTTATTCTTATCGGGCCTTTCCATGGCGCTGACGGGATATGAGGTTCAAATTGCCAAAAAAAAAGAGCTTCAAATTTGCCCTTTTTTGAAGCCCTAACCTGGCAGACGTGGACGAGTGCCCGGCGCTAGTCACGTCGTTTGCTATAGGAAACCTCGTCGTGTGCCAGTGCCACTTCACAAACTATGCGTCTCGACGTTCCTTATCATGTCAGAACACGTCTCGGGGCAATCCATAGGTGGAGAGCGCAAAAAAAAAAGAGGCGGAGCATAAAGAGGATCCGGTCCGTTATTTTCTTTTGTAGGCAACATCAAGAACCGGACCAACGCCGTTGGTCTACTTTTAGGGCCTGCTAGTAGGATAAGTAGTATTAATGGGTGAGTAGAATCTGGGTGAACGCTGCTTTTGATGTGGCTCACGCATTCTTGTAGGCGACGTTCATGACACAAGAAATCCTCATATTCTTTCTGAGGAAGCATATCGTCTGCTCTTGCAAAAACTTAAGAACATTGTTAGTGGTGTTCTGCTGATCCTAGGCAAGACATTGCGTTAATATCTGTGCAGCAGTGGCGTACCGAGGGGGGGGGGGGAAGGCGCGCCCTCCTTCCCTCGGTACGCCACTGCTGCACAGATATTAACGCAATGTCTTATAAAAAATTTGCAAGCGACTTGTTTTTACTTGTAAATAGTTAAAATAATTTTTAAAAATTTTTAAAAATTCAAATTAGCCGTATAAAAAATTTTTCTCGGGGCGTGGCGTCAGCCATGCTCCCTTTATCTAAAGTTTTGGGGTCAGAGGGCCGCAAAAATTTTGGGAAGCATCCCAAAAAATTTTTCGGAGTGCGTGGCTAACGCCACGCATCCTCATCCGAAAAAAACATTTTGTCGCTTCCCCCCCCCACCCCCGAGCGGAAATCCTGGGTACGCCAGTATTGTACAGAAATATGTGTTGAAGAAAAAGATCAAAATTTCGCTCAGTACACCAGCGCGCCGTTAAACGAACGTATTTGACCGCTATGGTATACACAATCAATGGCCAGCTACATAGCGAGTTATAAGCTAGTAATCCCCGGATTTTAGGTTCCGCAGAAATCAACTATAATTTTGGATAGATTGAAGATGCCGATTCCGAATATGTAACTCCGGCTGTTGAAATGTTCTTCTTAATAGGTTATGCTGTTGCAGCACTTCCGGCGCGCTTTCGGACTTAATCCGCTTTAAACGGCGGCGCCAATGGCACTGTATTGCGAGTTATTTCGTTCAAATTGCAAAGTCTGGTCTTGAAATATGTCAAGGAAATGAGTTCGATTGCAGTAAGATTCGAGAAGAAACATTAGAGGCACATTTGGTGGAAAAGTCAAGTTGATGTATAGCATCATCCGTCGTTCTAAGGTCGAACAAGGCGCTTCTGTCCTTTGCCGTCAAAGGGGGGGGGGAGGAGAGGAGTGTGATCAACGAACTGACCGCCTCCACCAAATATATCAAATTTCATTAGGGTTAACTTATTCTCTATCCTTTTTTTCAACGGCAACATAATTTGGTGTAACCTATTTGTTGTAACCTTCCTTGGGTCAGAATGTCAACAACATTTTTGGAGTATGAGTAATTGGTCTCAGGTATTTCTTTCCTGGAGTTACAAAATACTGCTGCATCGCAAAGGCAATCCCTGGAAAACTTTTGCGACTAGATTTTGTTTCGGACGAACTCGGTTTGTGATCTAACTTGCGCAATTTCAGCACTCACGAAAGATTGACTTTCTATACGACAGCTTCAGCAGTAACACTAATTCACGTCTATTTTTTCATAGTTCAAGTTAAAAAGTGAATCCTTATAAATGAAAAAAATATTGGTTTTTCAGTAATAAGGTTACTGGTCAAAGGTGTCATATTTCTGAAGCCGTAGATTTGGAGTGATTATATCTGCATTTTTAATCCATCTTGATGCTGCACTGCTTGTTTGGTATTTGATTGTTGCCATAAATTCTTCGCTAGCATGAAATTCTGTACGTAAACTGTATGAATGCGCAACTTACATTCTGTCGATCGTTTACATCCGCATATAAAGAGTGTGATATCAAGAAAATTATAATTATGAGCTCCGCGCAGAGTTCAAACTCCACTTCAAACAAAATTTGGTTGATTTTTTAAGACTTGTTACAGTAGTGTTCTTTGCCTTTCATTCGAAAATGTGTGGTATTACGTTCGCACTAGCTTAGCGTTCGCTGAAGAAATCGACTTGCCTGCGATTTTCAGTTCGGTGGTTTCTTTATTGTAATTAGCGCAAAAATGAAATCCGCAACATGATTTTGATACTAGGTGCGAGACCTGGTTTTTTTGTATATGATGAACATCAACTGGCTTTTGAAAAATGAGCTCAAACACTTCATTTTTCGAACTTAGTACTTCATATAGTTGGTTGTGTACGAGTAATTGCCGATGCAAGTGGAAAACATTTACAAAATAGCGGTTCTGTTATTTTTGATTCCGCATAATGAATGGAAAAGTTTGGTCCAATGTGGTTGCAATGATTGTCCAAAATATTCTTATCGCATAGATATCAGTAGTCCATGAACAACTTCTTCGAAATTTACTGTAACATTCTATAGTTCAAAATGGGATGGAATTTGAAAAAATGGAGCTGCAATTGTGGTGCACAGCTAAGAGTTAAATTTCCATACGTTTTTGTTCAGGAAATTATACGGAAGCTTCATCAATTCTCTCTTCATTCCGCAGAAAACATCCTGGTTATGCTGCTGTTGAACTTCGTCTCATTGGAATGATGAGAAGACGAGCAGACGCTGAAAGGTTGATTTGAATTACGAATGATTATATCAAATGGTTAATTTTTCTCTAGAAACCATGACTACTCGGGTGTAATCAGCAAATTCGAGCGGCTTATTCACTCGTCTGACACTCCTCGTCATCTCAGCAGTTATTACTCTATAAAACTTGCCAGGTGCAATCCTCATACTTAGCATGCAAAAATCTACTAGAGCAATCATTAAATTGCAGATTTCATTTGAAAGCTCGTAATGATCGTCGTCTTGCCGAGAAAATCATACGAAGAGCTCTTGAACGTGATAGGGTAAATTTTTATGATCTTGGCAAATAAAGTTAGGAACTTGTTCAATGTAAATCAACAAACCCTTTAGGACAACGTCCAGCTCTTGCTACAGCTGATCGACATCGCTTTTACAAATCCGGAATTCTCACAGGTACTGCATATTTTGCGGAATACGCGATAACATAATTTGCTTTATTGACCAAAAACTAGTCAGCTGTTTATGATGGCAATCGATCCTAGCACATTTTTTGATTCTATTTCAAATACTGGCACAAATCAAAAACAACAATCAAATTTTGTTTCTTTGATTGAGATACTGGATTAACTTCAAAAAGGAAAGAGTTCAATAGCAAAAATAATAACTTGCAATAATCCCGAGAAAAAAACCAGGTACAAATCTATCATCACCTCCTCTCGAAGTTTTGAAAGAAAAGTAGCAAAGGTTACTTGATCTTCCGAGTTTTCAATATTCAGTAGCGGATAGTAAATGGGGTCGTCTCCACTCTCCACCCTTTCGAGAAGAAATGCGAAGTTTTCTGAAAAGTGGTATTCATGATTTTTAAAAAGTTGTACAAATGACTTATTTCGGTTTGTAAATTTTTTGTAACTTCCAAATTGTATACAATTTGGCAGCTTTCTCTTGGAATTTTTTGTAAGCCAGCAGATTGGAAGACATGCCAGGTTTCTGCCAGACACGCTTTCTTCGTCCCCCTCCACCAAAAGAAAGGCGAATTCCTGTCTGCCGCTGCCATTGTCGCGTACTCTTCGTTGCTATATTGTGCTTTCTTGCTTTTTAAAGTCAACTTTAGTCTGCGGTGATCGAGGCATTCGACTTTGCAATCAAATCAAACATTTCGGATGCAGAGAAAATCCAGTTCAGCCAGCGCAAACTGGATTTCTTAGAGGATTTATCATACGACATCAATGTGTAAGCAAATTAATTCTCAACCTTGTAGATAACTTCAGTAAAATTTTCATTAAGATTACAAGAGCATCAGGACTTGCACAATGCTTTGTTAGCTGAAATAGAGAATCCTCCAACTACGACGAGAAAGCGCCGATATAACAGCCGAGACGATTTGAAATATCTCGGGTATGAAGCGTAAAACGTAGAGTTCTGAGCTGCTACTCTCTAATGTTTTTTCTGTTGCAGTGATAGAGATCGTGACTCACGCCGATACTCGGATCGTGGGCGATACTCTGACCGTAGTTCGCGTGACTCCTACCGCGATAGTCCACGCGGAATGCGGGACAACACCGGTTACTGCGTTGCTCCAAATAGTAAGCAATCTCTTGATCAATTATACTCAGAACAGTTAAAAGGTCCTGCACCGTTCGCAAGAGATTTGAAGTAAGTGGAAATTGGCCTCATCAGGACTGAGGGTGACTCAGTGAAAAATCATGTCAAGAAGTCAAATATAGTTGACTGCACGGAATCGACCGGGCTGAACGCCTGCGAGCGTGTCTCTCGCGGGCTAATATTGGCATTCGCGCGCATGAGTCATCATCAGGGTCAAGCGTGAGGTGTGCCTGGGGGGTCGTATTGAGGAGTCAAAAGGGGAGGGGGGTCGTAGTTGGGTAATCTGATAATAGTGATAACATGATATTTGCATCATATCCATAATTAGCATGTCAATTAACCCCTGAGACAAAGTTTGAGCGAATGCTGAAGATTCAAGATACTAGGCTACCTAAGTGAAATAGTCATTTTCCAACATGATTAATTTTGTTTCAAAGGTGAATTGGCTATCTGTTTTTGCACTCAAGACAAAGCACTACTCCTTCTTTGTCCATCTTAGAAATCCCGCTTCAAAAGACCTCCAAACTGTGGAATTAGAAGCCAACATCACATTTTCCCATTTTTCGCTTTCAATGGCTGTGCTTTCACCAGATATTACTCAGAGCTAAGAAGACGAATCAGGCTTAAAACATTCCTATGGAATCTACGAGGTCTAGGCTATCGGCCTTTTCCGAGATCGGTAGATTGTGAGAAAAAGTTGAACGGATCTAAAAGGCACTGATGATCTGTTTAGCTGGAAATTGCGGATTTTAAAAACGTCAAAAGTACAAAGGGGGTTACTATCCACTTTCAACACCCAGACAGACTCAAGTATTGATCCTTACACGACAAATAATCAATTCTTGGGTTGTCGCTCTGTTCGAATCCTTGTCTAGGGGATTTCTGAAGTAAGTAGTCCTTGTACTGTTGACCACACAACTTTTTTAGTGCACATTGTCGCCTTCAAAAAAAAAATGAAAACCGGCTTTTATGCTGCAGGACTCTGAAGGGTATATCAAAGAGGAGAGTGAAGTTCTCAACGAGCTTCAAATTGTAGCGCATTAACTGCCGCAGACAAACGCATGAGAAATAATGTGAAACAAGCAGATTTGGTGAAAAGTTACTACAAATATAAATCGTTCCAACAGCGAGAAGCACCAAAACTGATTAGCGGGGCTCCAAAATCAGTCTTCTTTCCGTCCATGAAGCCGCTGTATTTCAGCTTATCAGCAGATGCAACCGATCTATTATCCAACTCAAGGCTACCAGTAATACTTATCTCCGGTCGACATAGTTGTTAGAGAATGATTATTATGCTTTATCGATGTTCAATGTGCGAAGCGTTACTTGCCCATGAGGTAAACACAAACTGTATCCTGGCAAAGCGGTAAATGCGAATCCATGCTGAATTTTCTGGTATCGTCTTTTAATTTTGGTATTTTGCAAAATGGAATCAACAAAGGGTATTTTGCGCACTCAAGTTATGTATGTGCCGAATTTTTGATTTCGTCATTTTACATTCATTATTGTCTTTTCAGGAAGAAAATTTCTAACGAGATGACTTTTGCACAGAATGTACCTCAGACAGTTTCATGTGATATAAGGGTTTATCAGTTGTGATTGTTGGTTATTGTCGATGACTCAGATTTGATTCGGGAAGAGAATGTTCGTATTTGTTTGAGAGAGCATACTTGTTCTCGTTTTTTTTGAGTTTATAATTTTGGTTTACTGAATGGGCAAGTATCGAATTCATGACTATTGTTGTTCTGTTCATTTTGGTACTTCCGTTTTTCTTCTATTTTTCGAATGGGTCTCGTTCTATCGTAGTATTTCCGTCTAGTTTGTTGTACTTGTTAAAATTTATACTGTTTTTTTGGCTGTGTCAGCATGGTACACAAGGTGTGTGAGCATCAATGAGCAAACAACAGCAGGATGAATTGATGTAGCTGAAATTCCAAGTTATTTTATCGCGTTTCTCTTAAAGATGTTTCGCTCCACGCAGTGGCCACAGCAGCGTCCAATTTATCAAGATAAGTCTCAGTTTTGAATGACATAAACGGATTTTCAAACACCTATGCAAAATCAGTTGACGCTGTTTTGCTATGAATTTCATCCTTTCAAAAGCCTTTTCGTAAGTTATTCGAATCATATATTCTTGGATGACTAGCCAGTTCTTGTCCGTCTTGCTTCCTTTATCTATAATGTGCTCTGTGTAATGGTAACCAAGTACTTTTTGTCACAATAATGAAAGTGTTTTTTTTATATCATTGTCATCATACTTATGCTCCTTCCTTTTGACGAGAAATTATCTAGCAATGAAGGGAAGAACCAAAAAATTGCTGCAAACGTTGCGTATGCCGTCTTCACCTGCCTCATCAAAGGCAATAGATGGACGGGGCAAACGAGTGAACTGAATAGTCACTCACAGGGTCCTGTACGAGGGTGGCAAATGGGCAGCCGTGAACTAAATTCGCCTTCACTTCCGATTTTTACGGAGGAGTCAAAGCATAGTGTTTGTGTAGTAAAATTTGGGTGCAGCACAGACTTGTGTAAGAAATATGAACAAATTATGTGAATTGAAAGTTTGCCACTCTCGAGGTGGCATTAGGGTGGTAATTGCAACCTCAATTCTTCAGTCACATAGTCTTCATATCATTACGTATAAAAGCATGAATTCGTGCACTTTTCCTAAACGATAGCAGATGGTAGACGAGGAGAAGCCAGACGAGATGCGAACACGCCCGTTGTGCATTTCAATATGAGACATGTCTTCATTTGTACCAAACCGTCTCGAAGTTTTTTTCCATAGCTATAGCCTAAGGACAAATTCCACAGATCAGACAGTAAACACCATGTGTGGCATATCAACAGTCTCAATACGATGTTTTCGCATAAGTCACATGATTACATATGCGATCCTTGAGCATCATCCATAAAATAACGGGGCAAATGTTCCCCTGGTCGAGGTTCAACACTATCTCGCCATTATCATGAAAAGTCGCCTCGTGCAAGGTTGTTGCCGCATCGTCTTACGTAGGTTTTATCTACTAAAATCTTTTGCTTGCAGGTGGTAAAGATTTTTAACATTTCCAGTTTATGCTTCTGCCTTTGTGCGTTTACGTTTATTTATCGTTTTTTTTTGTTTCGTTTTACTCTGCTTACACAAAAACTATATCACACAGAGTAAATGGGTCTCATGGTAGAGCCAAAACCTGATGCTTTTCGGAGCATGTTTAGGGAAATACTGCGAATATGATGGAAATTTTGCTTTTCCAAGCTTTGAAAATCTGACTTTTGTCGTATTCCGAAAAGCGTGAAACTGCGTCCTCTTGTCAGAGGCGATGCCTCAGAAGAAAAAGCACTTACGGTTAGATAACTGAGCACCGCACATAATGTCGGAAATTTTGATCAAAAATGTTACCTGATGGACTTGTAGAAAGGTTAATTTGTGTAATTGGGTGTCGCTGGTGGGGGCGAGGTTTTATCTCACAAGGTAAGGATACCAACTTAGATTTGCTTTTTGAGATGGGACACATATATTTGGCATCAGCTTGGAACGCTGATTCCAATTATGCTGTTCCTAGCTCTTAGCGTTATTCCGAAGCGACTTGTGGGCTTGCTGTTGTGAGCAACTAACAAACTTCTGAATGTCGTAAGACGGTGTATAGATAAGAATCTGCTCGAAAAAAGTGCCAGGATGTTGAACTAGCATCAGATTAATTCTTGCGATCTCAAAAGGGGGCACTATACAACTGCAAAACCACCTAGACGTGGACGCCGTAGCATAGTAGGTCGAGGAGCACGCAAACTTCGCATAGAAAAGAGACCATAATTCGCTTCATAATAACGATAAGCAGTCCCGAGTAGCATATTATGAATCAGCGTTCCAAGCTGATTCCAAATATATGTGTTTTATCTCAAAAGGCAAACCTAAGTTAGTATCCTTCCCTTGTCAGGCTAATCTTGCTTTCGCTTCCAGAATTGAAAGTGCTCGAGTAAGTGGGTATTGCTGGTGGACACATATTTGTGAAAATATTCCCTGTTGTACAGAAAGGAAAGCGTAAGTAACTGGATTTCGCTGGTGGAGACGAGCGTTTACTTAAAGAAACGTTTCTGGGTTCTCGTTGGTGAAGGCTTTTTTCTTTGCTGGAAATTCAACGCTTGTGTAACTGGCCTTGCTGAAAGAGATAAGCGTTACTTGAGAAAATCCCGCTTTGGGTATTTTACTGGACCTCGCTGATGGAGATGGGCTTCCACTTGGAAAAATCCAACGCTTGAATGACTGGGTCTCGTTGGTGAAGGAAAGCGGCGCTTCGGGTAACGATCTTACTCGTTTAGATGAACTTCCACTTGGGGAAATCCAACGCTTCAGTAAGTGCTCTCGATGGTGGAGGAAAGCGTTTACTTGGGGATTCAACGCTTCGGGTATTTGGGTGTCGCTGGTGGAGGAAAGAAAGCGTTTACTTGAGAAAATCCCGCTTTGGGTAACTGGATCTCGCTGATGGAGATGGGCTTCCACTTGGAAAAATCCAATGCTTGAATGGCTGGGTCTCGTTGGTGGAGGAAAGCGTTTACTCTGCGAAATTCAATGCTTTGGGTAACTGGGTCTCGCTGGTGGAGATGAGCTTCCATCTGGGAAAATCCAACACTTAAATAATTGGGTCTCGTTGTTGGAGCGGTGCTTCGGATGGGTAACATCTCACTCGTGAAGATGAGCTTCCACTTGGGAAAATCCAACGCTTGAATAACTAAGTCTCGCTGGGCAAAGAATGCGTGTACTTGGGGATCCAACGCTTTGGGTAACTGGGTCTCGCTGGGGAGATGAGCTTCCACATAGGAAAATCCAACGCTTGAATGACTGGGTCTCGCTGGTGGAGAAAAGGCTTCACTTGTGGAAATTCAACGCTTTGGGTAACTGGGTTTCGCTGGTGGAGATGGGCTTCCACATAGGAAAATCCAGCGCTTGAACTACTGGGGCTCGTTGTGAAGGAAAGCTTTTACTCAGGTTATGGTTTTTTGTGTGGAAGAGAAAGCTTTTAGATAACTGGGTTCCGCTGGTGAAGACAAGTTTTTATTTAAGGAAATCCCACTAGCGGTAGCTGGGTCCCCTGTTGAAAATGAGCTTTTACTTGGGGTTATACGCTTGAGTAGTGGGTCTGGTGGCGAGCTGGTGGAAATGAGCTTCTGCTAAGTAAAGCATTTCTTATCCTGTAGGAAAGGGGGTTGGAAACGAGCGCTTATTTTAAAAAATCTGCTTTTCTTTGAAGAAAGTAAAGCATTCAAGTAAGTGGGTCTTATGAGCGTCCATTTGAAAGTTCTTCCTATTTTGAGGAAAGCTTGATGATTGGGTCTGGCTGGTGGAGCCAACGCTTTCTGTAAAGGATTATAGCGGGTAACTTTTTCGTACGTAACTGGCAAAATTTGATGAATGATTGAAGGGCATTCATCGAAAAAAATTTTGTGTAAGGAAAACATAAGAGTAACAAGGTCTTGTTGTTCGGTGGTGACTTTTCAGAGAGGTCACTACCGGGGGTGACTTGGTGTCGCCGTATCGCAAAACCTGTAGAAAAAATTGTTCTGAGAGCGCTCACTTGAGAAAATTCTGTTCTTTCTTGTTGAAAGCGAAGCGTGTGAGTGAGGATCTCATTGATGGAGGTCATGCTTTCAAGCGAGAGGAGCCTTTTCGGGAAGTGCGTTCATTTCACATTTCCAATATCTCAAAAATCTGCTTTGTAGACGTTTCGTGGGGAAACCTCACCTATACTTGTAGAAAAGCGAGTTATTGACGAGTTCCGCAAAATAAAAAGATTCAAAGTTCAGGGTAGAGAAGGGTCCAGAAAACTTTTTCAGAAATCTGCTTCCACCCGATAAGGAATCTACCTTGGAGCAAATTTAAAGACTCGGCGAAAATTTTTCTCAAGTAAAATAAAATGCATGAAGATGTCATTGTCATGCACAAACTTGCTGAAAAACTTGATTTTTGAAAATGACGCGATCGTGGCTGACGTCGATCGCATTACAACTTGTTAACTATGACACCGCACCTTCAGGCAAAATTCTTGAGAAATTTGTAAAGGAACGCCTACTCGACTGGCTAGATAAAAAAGGAGTTTTTCCACAAGTTCAAAATGGTTTCCTTCCTTTCGATTGGATCAATGCACTAAATCATGGCAAATCAGTTGACATCGTATTTTCCAATCTTTCTAAAGCATTCGACAGAGCTGATCACCTTGGTTTGCTTTGGAAGCTCGAACAATACGGTATTCGAGGTCAGCTCCTATCCTGGCTTTCATCTTATCTTAAAGAAAGAGGCATGACAATCCGTGTTGGCAACTCTTTTTCAGATCGAATCTGCTGCGGTAGTGGAGTTCCACAAGGTGGCACACTTTCTCCCCTTTTATTTCCTACCTACACTGCTGAGCTACCTTCTCATCTGAAAACTCATCCAAACCTAAAAATACAAGTTTTTGCAGACGACATAACGAACGATTTACTTTTGCTACGAAGAAAAAGAACAATTAGAAGCTTACAGTGCAATATCTTCCGCTATCGAAAACATGAAATCATGGTCTAGCAAATCGAATCTCCCAGTAAATCCTTCCAAAACAAAAGTTCTACACCTTGGGAACTCCACAAGCTGCACTTATGAGTACGATGGAGTTATCTTAGAGCGCAGTAGTAGCACCAAAGATCTGGGCATTCTTCTGGACGACCAGCTCAAGTTTACTTCTCATCTCGACCTTATGACTAAAAAAGCCCTTTCATCTCTATTCGTTATATTGAGAAGCATTCACAGTAATGATGTGACGCTCCTGGTAAGACTCTACAAGACCTATGTGCTCCCACACCTTGAGTACGCTTCACCTGTCTGGAGTCCTTTTCTGAAAAAAAATATTGATAAACTCGAAAAAGTTCAGAAGACCTTTACCAGAATTGTTTACTATAGATGCTACCCAGATTCTGACTATCCTAGATCTTTGCCATTATATCATTTTAGACTGTGTGCACTAAAGCTGCACAGTCTGAAGTATAGAAGGGTTCTGCTTCAAATTTTTGCGTCTCGAAACAAGGTTGAGACCTAGTCGGTATTGGGTATTTAAGCCGTGTGGGAGAACAGGGGGTTTTGGTTTGGCTTACCGAAAATTGGGAAGCAAGTTTGTTTCCAAAGCTTTTAATTCTTTTGTATGCCGCACTGCGAGATGGCTCAGCAAACTACCATCGGAAATAATTTCTTGTAGAAATTCAGCTGATTTTCGCAAAAAATTGGAATCGATTGATGTGTTGCAAGTGTTGAGAATTCCAGATGTTTAACCCGTTCTGATGATACAAGTAGTTCTGGTATTTTTAGCATACCTTTTGCTTATTTTTTTGGCGAGTTTTCTACCTATAAAATTTTGTGCCTTTTGGATTTCTTTTTTTTTACAAAGTGAGTAAACGGACTTTTCTACTGTACTATAATATTGGCAGCCAACTGTTTTCACTAGATCTGCAGTCTCTTGGGTTGGATCAGCCGTTCAAGGAAAGCAAAAGTTGGCGCCCCCCTTCCTTGAAATCCCCCCTGTCCACTCGCTTAGGGTCCTGGGCGGATTCGTCCGTCCGGGTTAAGTTGTTCAGACAAGCCCCGGTAGCATTAGCCACGTTTGCGTTTGGTCAGGAACAGGATTTCGGTTGAGGGCTCACCGCCATCCGGAGAATGGAGAACGACCTGCATGTTCCAGCTAGGGACTCAACTGGCTACCTGCTTTTACAGATATACCAGTTATTTCATGCATGTGTTTTTTTTGGCGCACTTCAGTGTATGTGAAATAAATAAATAAATAAATAAATAATGCTTGCACAAAGCTTTTTTTTTGAACGTGCACGGTTGAGTTATGAAACTCCTTTTCGTTTCTGATAAGCCTCAAGTACAGCTCACCATAAGTTATGTTCATTTTATAGCAAATGCTCTTTGTGGTTGTAGTTTGTCTTCTCAAAAATCGTGAGTTCTATTGACAGTGGGATTTGGATTGCGACGCGATTTCGAGATACTCCAGTTGTTTTTACCTAATTCAATGTAAATACATTGTGGATGTATACAAACACCGCACTTCAACAATTTTCGAAAGCTACATCCGTTATGCACTTCCAGTCTATCACTACTGGATTTACAGACATTTGGCAAATTGCCAGATCGCAGCTAGCGTCCCTTCACAGTGCTGCTGCTGCTCCTGCTCCGCCTAACCTCCGCCACGTATGGCCAAGTGTTCACCATTTTGGCTGTTGGCATCAGCGCCAACATAGTGTTGCATGTTGCCAACATGTTCAGGCCAGGGCTCGGCACGAGGTGGCTAGATGAAAATGGAAAAAACGAAGTCACCTTTGACTTTTGGGAATTTTTACGAAGTCCCCTTTGACTTTCAACCAAATTTCCTCTAAAAACCTGAAAAATTTCCGAAAATCCCCCAAAAAACGAAACGTCGACTAAAAAAAAGGTCGCCGTCGTCAATTTTCCGTATATCTTCGCTCACAAAAACGAAACCCCCTTTGCTTTTCGTCCCAAAAACGATATCCAGCTTGCTTGTAAGCCACCTGTGCCGAGCCCTGGTTCAGGCGTGCCGCAGGCCATAGAGCTACCGGCACGCGTTGGTTCGGAGCGTTTTTGGAAACGAAGTTTCCTATGACTTCGCGTTAATTTATGAAGTCCCTTTTAATGTAAAAATCAATTGGGAAACTCTTATTCAATCAACATAACAATAAAAAGGCGAAAAAGCTAAAAAAAAGAATTTTGAGGCATCTGGTATATAGGAAAGCAAAAAAACATTCTGAGTTGTTTAAAGGCTCTGTCATTGTTTATGATACCACTTTAGCGCTCAGAATGTGTGAAAGCCCTTAGGCAAACCGAATCTTTGGCCTCAATAATCTGGCAATGCATTTTCCGTAACATAGTTCGAAAGACACCGCATGTGATTGGAGCGCGATATCTATCAAAGCTTATGTTTACACTACGTTTGGCTCAAAAAGAGGAGAGGCAATGGTTTTATTCGCTCTCTTCACTATATTATAGTTTTCGAGCGTACTAATCGTCTAAAACCAAAAAGGTCCAAAACTTATGTGAACTCTCCGATATTTATGCCACGAACCAACCCAGCTGGTTTGGTGTTGGTCTGGAAACCAACAAATTCGGGAACGGGTACTAGGACACATAAGTTTTTGGAACTTTTTTACATAACATATTGGAGTAATAAAGTATACGCTCTGTTTGTCTGTTTGAGTTTAGCTTTTCAAATTCGCGTGCTTGCGAAAGAACACGTTCAACACGTAAAACGTGATATGTTTGTCATTTTTTTCGGCGCTCCGCCCAGGACCTTATAAAAACGATATCCTTGCTTCTAATTTCAAAAACGAACTCCAGTATGACCCCAGACCATCTATGCCGGGCCCTGCATAGAGCAAAGCGGGCGCATCAGCAATTGTAGAAGGTAAGATACTATTAACTGGTCGGCGCTTTAAGTTGAATCAATTTTTTGAGAGCGGGAAACTGCTTTTTGGGCCATTGTCCAAGTCCTTCTCAGTAAGCTTCCTCTACGTCGAACAAACTGCACTCAAAGTAATGCGCCATTCGCATTCTGCCACCTGGACAAGTTTCCGGTTCCCCCTTCATGTCTTAACATGTCTTATCATATATCCTCCTTCTTCTTAACGTGTCTGAATGGGCGAACACAGCAAATGTGGAAGGGTACAGCTCGTCTTGGTTGCTTGAACGGCCCTTCAAAACGGGCTTTTCAAAATCTTTTACGCGGATCTAAATATGTTTGGGGCTTTATTGGATCGGGAAGGCTTGTAATTTACAAAAAAAACCGAGATTTAGATTTTCATGAATCAATGCCTTCAGTTCGCGTGAAATACGCCTGAGGCATTACATTATATCTGTGCGCCCGCGCTGCCAGTGAAATAAGTGATACGCGAGCGCTAAAGGTAGCCTATGGATAGATTCTAGAACGGTGTTAAATTACAGGTTGTTTTGAATTTTTTCGTTAGATAAATACTCTTTTCATGGGTGGGGGTCTGTTAGATTCGAGGTTATTTGATACAGGTTTTATAGGCGTATCTGATAGGTTTCTTACATATTAAGCGAAACGAAGAAGAAAAAAGTGAAACGCGTAGGTGACCCATTTCAAGTTGTTATATTATGCCGTACAGGTTGTTATAGGTGATATACTTTATTGCCCGAAATTTCGGCAAGACGCCGTCTTTAGAGGCTGAAAAGGCATCAACCACATTGATACACTGTCTCCACCGCTAAATATCTCCACTGATTTGCTATCCGACTCGTCTTGAGTGGAAGCAAAGAGTTTGGAGGCGAAGTTTCACTAATCAAGTATATCACCTGTCACTGTTTTACAGCCGCTCTAGATGTGCTTGATCGAGTGCAGTGTCAAATAAGCACCCAAACTATTATGGATTTGCTTAAATAGGGCACACAATCTTATAGTTTACAGCACGACAGCGTCGCAGATAATCTCTCATTGTTGCCATGCTCGCGGGGGCGAGAACATAATCTTTCAATGCTTTTCGCACGGAAATTTGGTGTTCGTGAGAAAAGATGTTGCACCTGATAACGTAATCAACACCGTATGTACGATCATTCTATGCTTTCCCAGTGAACTAATCATGCTTTCTTTTGCTAGCTACCAACAGAGTACCTTTGTGTTTGCCTTTTATCTCCGAAAAGGTACTGCCGCAGTCAAACAATGCCTTATTAAGCACAGCTTGAGAAAGATGTATAGTAAGTTTCAACCCACTTTAGGCGGAAATTGGACCGGCGGGAGCCCGCTTCGCAACGATTCGCACCGCTTTGCAATCTGCGTCTCTTCATTCTAGTCTATCTCGCTGAGCCAGTGGCGGTGCGGACGCGCTGCTTCACTTGGAATGTTTTGCCTACTCAGGCTTGAAAAGACTGTAATCTTGATTGACATCTCGGGAGAGAACGTCAAAGAGCTGTTAATACGCAATAAAGTGTACAATAAAGCTTGTGTCACAAGAGACTTCTTGTGCGCCCATAGGGACAATTTTGAGATTGCTCGAAATCTGGCGTTCATATAAAAATGAGTGTGCGAAATGCTCTGCCATATATATTGGTGAAACCGGCCTGCCACTTGGCGTGCGTATCAGCGAACATCTAGCTAGCAGAAAAAGGCAAAGCATGACTAGTCCATTGGAAAAGCATAAAATAATTGAATATACCGGTATTGATTACGATATCAGGTGCAAACTGTTGGCCCGCGAACATCTACTTCTGCACGAAGAGCCTTAGATGGCTCCTACATCCTTCTTCGCGAGCCCAAACTTAATAGCAAAGATTAAGAATTATCCATAACGAGTGACTTGACCGGTATCTGTCGTACGGTAAACATAAGATTATGTGCCCTACTTAACAGCCCCACAGTAGCTTCGGTACTCGTTTGACACTGCACTCGACAAAGCACATTTGGAGCGGCTGTAAGCCACAACAAGGTGATATACTTAGTGGATAAACCTTCGCCTCCACTTCCTGCTTCCACTCGAGACGAATCGAGGGCAAGTCGGTGGAGATATTGGCGGCAGAGTTTAGTGTATTACTGTGATTGACGCCTTTTCAGAATTTGACGGTGGCGTCTTGCCGAAACGTCGGCAATAAAGTAACATCGGCTCCCCGCTTGTTGCGAGGGCGGTCTCGATGGTCAACCCAATTTATCAGCTGTCAACATAAGGCAACCATATCGCTGATACGCTCGCCGGGTCCGCCCTCGCGGCACTCAAGGAGCCGATGATTCATCTATAACAATCTGTACGGCATAATATAACAAGTGGAATCATTCACCCTCAAGAACATGCCAAAGTTCAAAGATAAGAGGGCTTACAGCATGACTCACCTCAATTTTTGTCTTAAATTATTTCTAGGAGCTTTACGATTTTCGAATGGTGAATTATGAAGTCTTATTATTTGCGATCTTCTTAGCATGTGTAGGACTACCGCAGTATTTAGTAATCTAGTTTTCTACCTGATGCGCGATATTGTAAAATGAACAACAAGTAGAGGCAAGAACACTGAAGCCAAACGCGCAAAAAGGGCGATAAAACGCCGGAAGAGAGTTGATTGCGGTTTGTTTGAGTACAGCTTCGTTCTTGCGCTCGATTACCACTTCCTCGTTCGCGGTGCGGTCGTTGAAAACGCTGTTGCTAACGTCTACAACAAATCCATACTGTGATTCGTAGAATCCAGGACTATTTGTCCTGGCATTCGTAAAGAACGCGTTCAAGCTTGGTTCAGACAATGTGTGCAAAGCGGTTTCGAGGCTCTTAGTCAATATGAACGCTGTCTACAAGATATTCATATGCTCGAAGGCGAGTGATTCAGGTGTCATAGGATCTTCGACATTGTGCGCACTTCTCCAGCTCATAGGTCCCGGTTGTTACAACGTTGCGACGTAGCGGCTGGAACTCGGCAGCGATGTTCAAGTGGACGATATAGCCATTGAGCATCTTTCTGAAAATTTGATTTGTATCAATTGCCACCGCCTGCTAAGTAGGAGTGGTCAGTCTACAACTTCCTTAGGCATCGGGCATACCTTCGGCGACTACATCGTAGCAATTCTCATCGCTGGGGCATCGAATGCCTTGGCATCCAATCGCTTCGGGACTAATCGAATGTCGCTCATCCCGGGCATACCTTTCAAAAACTATAGCTCACACGTCACGCCCGAATGAACTCAAAACATTATGGAGTTTTTCAATACGTCTAACATCTTTTATCTTACTCCTTTTCACACACTAATCTCACGACGCTAGTCATGCTCATAGACGCGTCCACCAGCATCGTCCATTCCAATTGCTGCTAGCCTTGGTTTGCATCTCTGACTGCGGCATATGTGGCTATGTTGCAACGTGAACAACATGTTGCTCAAGGATGGCACACATTGCCGCCAACATGCTAATGCATGCCGGCAACAAGTTGTTGCAAGTTGTCGACACATTAGCCACACGTACCGCAGTCAGAGATGCAAGCCAAGAGTAGAAACAATCTAAAGTAAAGTAGTAACTAAAGCAACAGACAACTACGCAGTGAAAAGCCCTCAAATAGTCAGGAGATTCTGAAAAGGGAGAAGGAAGCGAAAAATACAAAGAAACTAAAAGAAGAAACCCTTACGGCTATTGCCAAGGCAATTTAGTAGCGCTTCCGTAAATCAGAGTCAAAAATAATAAGTGGAAAGGATAGAGAAAGAGGTGGATAAGTGAAAAGTGGTTAAGTAATACACAGTGGTGAGTGGAAACAAGTGAGCAGCGGAAGCGCAGATCATACGGTGCTATTCGCATGGTCAACAGTCAAAATTGAAGAAAAAGGCTTGCGAAATTTCTCCAGAGAAAAGAAAGTGACGCGACTTCGCGACCCGATTTTCCTGTTTCAGCAATGTCGTGGCGATATCGCCACTAGAGATATGCCCGCCAAAATACTGCCCGCGATGGCATGCGATTTGTCGCCCATACAAACTGGCACGAATGCGGCGGGACCCACTAATTGAGCGCGGCGAATCAGGAACACATGTCCGGTGGAGTAATCGCGCAGCGACAAATCGCGCAAGGCCTAAGGCACACCTCGCGCGATTCCCGTCGCTGCGCGATTTGGCATAACAGCGACTCTTCGTAATTCGTCGTTGATGCTGTCTTTGGTCAGAAATTGCTCCATTTGCAACGACTTACACAAGCTACCCAAATATGCATCCGAGAAACGCGCACGATAAATATGTAGAAATCTGCAAACCGCTAAGTCGCGTGAAAGTAGCGATTCGGCCGAATGCCTTAGGCATTCAGCCGAATAGCCACTCGCCTAAGGTATACCCAGTGCCTTAAGCAGTCAGAGCTCGTGTGCATGTGCTAGAAAGCCAGCATGTACTAAGAAGAGGACCTATTGTCCTGGTATCTGCGAAGTGAAATTTAGTGCGGCTTTGTGGAACCGTCATCCTCTAATGGCGCACGATCCATTCGCAATCTACGAAAATGTCGCAAACATCCAAACATATGGTCGACTTTTGTCTCTCTCGCGTTCTTCCCCTTTCGTACATACAGAGTGTATCGAAAAACGTGCACTATGATCGTCAGAACTCTCTTGCATCAAGTGTGTTTCGCCGATCTTTAGGCATCAATCTGTAAAACAGTATAAAGTGAATTACCGATCTCTCCTCGTTACCATAGGATTACGTTAAAAATTTTTAGACATAGAAGCATTGTGAAATGAACAGTCCGCAAATTTTTTGAAAATAAGTCTGAAAGGTCGTATAAGATATTTTTCAAAGATGCTGATTTTACTACACAGCTTTTCACGAGTTTTTGGGCTTTTTTGACGGTACAATCACTTTTTGAGGAACAGTAGAAATCAATGGTCACGGTTCACCTGAAATAGCCCAGAAAACATCGCAGGTGAAAACTTCATATATGAAATCAGCGACTTTGATAGCTTATTGTAAATTTTTGGCTTCTTCGGTTTCCTTCCTGCGACGAAATTTGGCTCTCAACGACTTAAAATCTCATGGAAGTTCTAACCGTTATCCTACAGTAATGGAGAGGGATCGGTGATATTGGCTCCATACTGTAAACGTAAGTTGAACTCAGCTAGCAGAATGATATCCAAAAATCGGCAAAAGACTCTAGTGCAAGAGTTATTGATGTTCAATACGTGCACGTTTTTTGGGACACCTTGTAGGTCTCTGGTCTGAAACGCAGGATTACCTTGAAACATGGAGGTACCATCACATCCGCTCTGGAAAAGATTGAACGCTTACTCCAGCATATCCAATGCAGGGTTCTTCCCAAGGCCGATCGCTAGCGCCAAACAAATGCGGAACGGTCATTTTCCTCACCCTGCTACTATCGTTCATCTTCAATTCACTAAAACTCAACCAAACCTTCAACCATTGCTCGATGGCCAATATAGGAAAATGCATTACGGGGAGTGACGCTAACAAGCGCGATTCAATATAGTCGATAAATATGACTCGAAGGATGAAGTGGGCTAGACTAGTAAGCGCGCTCCGGACGCGGCTACGCGGAGGAGGTCCTACCACAAAAACAGAGAGCGAGCGGTAGAACCAACGCTCAAGGCCAGCAAATTTGAGAACGACTTGTGGAGTGGCGACAAATATAAATATGGTAAAGTAAATATGGTTAAACCGTACAGTGTTATCAAAATTGGAAAGTTACTGGCCTACTGAATGAGGCATTGCAAAACAATTTTACAGAAGTAGCGACGCAGGCATTTCAACGACTTTCGGATTCTTGTTTTGTTGGTAATGAGAGCCAAGTAAATCTCACCATGAGTACAGCTTGTCCTCTTCTGCCAAGAGTTGAGTTCACGGTAAGCTAAACCATTACATCATGTCCAGGCGCCGTATATCTGATCCGCTGCAAAGCGGATAAGCATTTTTCATGTCAATTCAGTTTGAAGCTAGCTGCTTAGTTACATTGGATGAAAAAGGAATCACAAACTGGGGATGTGCTCCTTGCTACTGGAATGAGAAGCTGGACGCTATGTGTTACCCCACAGATCATCACCAATACCGTCATTGCTGCTGTCGGACGTCGGACTGCAACAAACTCGTGAGTTTCCTTTGGTACCGCGCTCACCAGTAGCCTAAAACCTAAAGACATGCTGTTGGCGTTGCTCATAAGCGGTTTCGCAAAGCAAAGCGTAGCAGGATAAGCTTTTCCTCAACCTTTCGTGCAGTAGAAGTTTGGCTGTTCGCTCGGACCAAAATAAGATCTCTTTTTCACAGCGGTAGGCTTTGCCATATCGCGAAGTCGTATGGAATGGGGTCGTTGCGCACACAGCGCCAGCGCTTTTCTAATCGCTTTTTCTCGCAACCGCTTTTTTATTAGGTGATGGTTTTTGAACTCAAAAAGACGTGATTTATCCTTATCATACACTCTAGGTGCGCCATAAAAAAGCTTATAAGTTATTAGTAATGAAGAATTACTACACTTGTAACAAAATATTGACTCCAACAACTTCCTTCGCACACCTGATCCAATAATGGAATGTAGAAAGACGGGCCTTCAACATATCTGGGCAGTGGCGGACCGAGGGGGGGGGGTTTGAAAGTTGCATATATGGGTTATAAAAATGTGAAGTGACTTGTTCATACTTGTAAATAATTGGAATAATTTTCAAAATTTTTTCAAAATTCAAATTAGCCTTGTAAAAAATTTTTTTTCGAGGGCGTGGCTGACGCAACGCACCTTCATTGGAAAATTTTTTTGTCGCCCCCCCCCGGTCCGAAATCTTAGGACCGCCACTGCTGGCAAGTGATCTGTTAGGAATTTTTATAGCAATCCAAGGACCGATATTGGCTTCGCTAGTTATTCGCCAATTTAACGTCAAACCTTGGACACAACCTCCAAAACTTGCCGACAACTGGACATAGAGCACAATCATAGTTAAAATATATGTAGTTTGTTTCAACTCAAGCATAGCATCGCGCTTTTAAGCGTGCACTTCAATCGCAGAGGATACGACTGTTGCGATCCGGCGAAGACCAATATGTTTGGCGGAGATTAACGGAAATGACCGTACCCAGCTTCCCAATTCATTGTTGTACATATATGAAAAGATGAGGTGATGAAAGTGATAAGTACCTGACTGCTTTTAGCTCGTACTGGATGCCATTTTCGGATGGGGACATGCAACAACAGAGAACGGAACTTGTCTGTCGGCTTCCTTGTCTGTCAATGCGAGCGAAGTCACTTGGAAACACAATTCACCGGAGCACTGTGAAAACGTATGCGATTACTGACTTTGATGGATAGACCCCATTTTCGAATAGGAACAGAAACGCAAATGTCCTAATGATACAGTGCGTCCATTTTCTTCTCTGAAATCGACCATCCCGATTGGGTTGATCGAGTTTACAGAATCCTTTAAGTGTTCGTCATTCAAGAACAACTAAAGGATTCTGGGATCAAAGTACCATCCACCAAACATGTTGCATCTGACCTAAGACACTTGTACGGAAGAGCGACCGTTTCTAGAAACAAAGATGCAGCCGAGTTGCTTTGAACCAAGTAAAAAAGTGAAAAAAGTGCACCTTGTACCCGTGAAATAATACTTGTACCTCAGAAATATTTAGAATATACAGAATTTGCTCTGATTACGCACAGTTCAAAGCAAGAACAATTGAACTTATAGTACGTGTAAAAGTAACGGATAGAAATTCGATATTTTTATGAATAGATTTCATCGCATAATCCTCTATAGACCATTCATAATGCGTAAATACGGATTTGCTACGCCTCTTCATTTCCCTCTTCTACACGAACTGCGCGAAACATGGAATACGGCTAATGCGCTCTGAGGTCATTTCGGGAGAATACATATTCGAATGTGAGGTTGCAATCAATTCCACGTCACTCGTCTTAGGTTTTGGATATCACATTTGTTTATGTCAAATTTGCCTTTATTTCTCCTTGTCTTTCCTGCGACTTTTGTGTTTAAGAATTTGACTTGGATTCCAATTTTTACTGGAATCTTTTGCTATAATTTTGAGGCTTCTTTGGGAATCACTGACGAGGGGCACCAAGGAAGGTGCACTACCGGTATAGTTCTTAGCCCCGATACCGGATAGTGTTCCAAAACTCAGAAAAAATTCTAAGAGATTTTTGTTTGTGTTTAGCATTTAATTTATCAAATACACAAAACATTCTTGTTATAAGGATAAATGTATCTTGCATAATCTTCAGTAAATTGCCGTTGTGATGGCTGACTAGAACTTTGGTACAGCCGGAAGCAAGATTAACCTAAAATGGACAGATGCTTTATAGCTTTATTGATTCGACGAGTTGCCCCATTGGGGCAGTGGTGGAGATGTTGTTCATAGTGGGCGTTACAAAGTACTATAATATGCAAGAGACGCTCTTTTTACAGCAGGTGATGTTTAGCATACCCTTACGACATTCTAGCAACAAAAGGTAAAAAGGGTGCTAATGCTATCCTTTTGGTTTCTCTTAGGGAGAAGGCGATCGCACGAAAGACTGGACGTTGTGTTTGAGGGAAATAACAGAATGCTGGAGGGGTGAAAGCGCTTTGACCTGAGAGGAGGGGTCCCAATACGCTTTGTCTGTGCCTTCTTTGGCCTATGTTTTTGGAAGCAAGGAAGTTAAAACACTTTTTTGGAGGAAAATTTGTGAAGCATCGCATTCACGCACCGGCTGGACGCAGTTGCGCCCGACTGTCGTGTTTTGCGCATGGAAGAAACATCAAATAGTGAGATAAGAAAGAGTGCTCAAATGTAAGAGCAAGAGATCAGGCACAAGTCTTTCAAGAACGACTTCCCGCCCCTCGCCTGATATATCCCAAACAAACCCTTCTCCCTCCTCTTCCACAAACTCAGAGTGACATTTTGGACGACATCGTCCTGTCTTAGGGTCGCATGCATGAAAGTCCTCGACAGGGGAGGGATCGCAGCTCAAATGAAATTATATCCTAAATTATTCATATCCTAAAGCTCCAGATATCTGGGTTTCACGCTGTCTTGCTAACCGTAAGTATTCCCACCATCTTTCACTACGAACACACTGAACAGCCGCGAGGAGCTGTACATGCAGCATATTCCAGTTTTTTATATGACCTTGATGATCCCAGCAGCCGACCGACTTTTCATTGAAGTCATTTTTTCTTTGCAGCTACTGAAAGCATTCCAGAATTGTACCGATTATCTAACTCAATAGCACTAATCATGTTTCTGTTAAGAACAAATGATGTTTTGAAGTTATGAAATTTGCGATGAACCACAAGTCGAAAGTTGGGGTCCATTAAGTAAATATATTTTCCAAAAACTCATTTGTTCTTATCACCAACATGCTTAGCACTGTTGGATTAGATGTCCAGTACAACTTTGGAAGGTTTTCGTTAACTTCGAAGAAAGAAAAATGACGTCAAGGATAAGACGGTAAGCCGCCGGGGTTCATCAAGAGATCGTACAAAATTGTGGAAACTGCAGCTTGTACAGCTTCCTGCCCCTGCTCAATGTTCATAGTGAAGGATGGTGAGGATACCTACGGATAGGTTATACGGGGTGAAATGCATATCTGGTGCTTTAGGATATGAAGCTTTCTTTTGAGCTGCGATCCCCACCAAGATGGGGATGTTGATGCATGCGGCCCTTAGAGAGTTTTTTAATTATTGAAGTCTGTCTTTCCGATCTGCTGTGACTGCATTTTCTGCATTTTTACTAAGACGTAATATGAGAGCGGATTTTGATCTGAATGGGCACACTGAAAGAGCTAGAATTACCGCAGGGGGGGGGGGAGGGAGGCGTTTAGCTGTAAATTTTCACTTGCAGCAAGAAGAGTCTATGAACTGAAGATTCATACCGGAAGTGGAGCGATTTCTGATTTTCAAGGGACCGAGCTAAGGGGTTCAGGCAAAAGCGCTCAAAAGTACAGGCAGCCTAACCTTCTGAGGGGTTGTGCCTGACTCCATTAGTTTATTTACAGAGAAGCTTCTTCATCCACTTTATGTGCGGTTCGCTAGCACAAACCTCGAAAATTCTACAATAGATATTTGAGCTTACCTCGACTTGTTTCGGCTTCTGGGGGATTCCGTGGAGTTGAAGCATTCAAGGTGGGGAACGCGCTGGTCGAAATTTTGGCGGCACTTCTTTTTCCATTTTTCGAAGCGATATGAAGTCTAATTTTTACCATATATGCTAAAGAGAATTACTCCATTATGAGTATACGAAAGTGAATTTCGTTGTCAAAACCAAGCTAATCATGTTTGGAAATAACCTTTTTAGACTTCAGGAAACACTCGCTAATGTAACAGGTACTCAGATAGTCGCCGGGGGCAAGCGGCGATGCGATTTATGGGCAAACGGGCACCGGAAAAATAGTTCGTTGATTTTTTGCGGCCCGCTTGCAGAAATTTGGAAGAAAGTTGGCGAAATTAAAGACGAAAGCTTGAAGAACAATCGCGGTTTCTTTATAGATTAGCTGCGGCGCAGTGGCCGCATTCTCGCGGACTTTCCGCGAGAATATGCAAAAATTTCGAGGGCCGCACGGTCCTTTGTGGAGGACCGCTCAACCCTCAGGTACTTTCCGCTGAGAGAAAGTACCTCAAACTTGAGTAACTAAACCAACGGTGACACCTCTGCCACACAGAGTCTTACCTGCGCTCGACGTACGCCCGAAAATGCCTAAAAAGAGTCCGAGCGCTTGCTGAAAATTTGGCCAGCGCTCGCTGAAAGAATTTATTTGCGGAGCGCTTGCAGAAAATTTTGTATTGCTGCCCGCTGGCAGAAGACGAAAGTACCGCCCGCTGAAGGTTTGGCCACGCCCCAAAATTCTGCTGACCGCCTGCAGAAAAGCGCGAGTTTGCGGACCGCCTGCCCCCGGCGATTATCTGAGTAATGGTTTGTCGAGCACGTACTCAGATAACCGCCGGGGGCAGGTGGCCATGCGAATTTTGAGCAAGCGCGCACCGGAAAAATAGTTCGTTGATTTTTTGCTGCCCGCTTGCAGAAATTTGGAAGAAAGTTGGCAAAATTAAAGACGAATGCTTGAAGAACAATCGCGGTTTCTTTATGGATTAGCTGCGGCGTGGCCGCATTCTCGCGGACTTTCCGCGAGAATATGCAAAATTTTTGAGGGCCGCACGGTCCTTTGTGGAGGACCGCGCAACCCCCAGGTACTTTCCGCTGAGAGAAAGTACCTCAAACTTGAGTAATTAAACCAACGGTGACACCTCTACCACACAGAGTCTTACCTGTGCTCGACGTACGCCCGGAAATACCTAAAAAGAGTCCGAGCGCTTGCTGAAAGTTTGGCCAGCGCTCGCTGGAAGATATTATTTGACGAGCGCTCGCAGAAAATTCTGCATTGCTGCCCGCTGGCAGAACGCGGAAGTACCGCCCGCTGAAGGTTTGGCCACGCCCCAAAATTCTGCTGACCGCCTGCAGAAAAACGCGAGTTTGCGGACCGCCTGCCCCCGGCGATTATCTGAGTACAGATAATTTGACATGCTGATTACGAGATCACACCCCCATTTATACAGCAGCTTTTTTTGGTAACCTTACGATATGCGTAAAGCAAGAGATGAAGAATTTAAATGCTGAAAATAGTGGAGTTAATCAGTATACATTTCTTGATCGTTATTCCTTCAATGTTGATGGAGTTGTAATATTCACCAATCCGCTTTTCTTCGCTTTACTCGATCGTAGCACTTCCTCATTTTCTTCGAAAAAATTCGCTTTTGACTACGAGCTTCCCCTTCCCTCAGCCTTACCCTCAAAACGAGCCCCCATCTGGGGCACGCCTGACCTCACGCTCAACCTTAATTAGAAAGAACACGGCTCTTTTTTAGGCAGGAACTAGACTTACCCACTTATCCGCTTAGTCACTCAAGGATTGTGGCGCTGCTAAAGCAAATTCCTTTGTCATCTTGCCTACTTTAATCTCTTTTTTAAGCGACTTAATGCGTTAACGTCCCGTCCCATATACGACGAATCCTCTATATCTGCGTAAAGCCGTTCGAAATTTCGGAGTGCTCGACTCCACTAGACTTGAAGCTGATGAATAATGGTATGAACATCACAATTTTTTAGTCGTTATGGAAGAGAATATGAAGTAAAAAGAATTTCTGTACATGAAGTTGGGAAGAATGTATCGCTGATTTCTCGAGGTTATTGAACTAGAATGACTTGAATGTTCCAATTTCTTAAACATGGGCATTATATATATTCTTCAGTTTTGCTTGTGCCAACAGTTTCGTTATGGTGGGATCTTTACTCGAATGGCCTAACGTTTCGGCGCGTTCGTCGTCCTCAGAGGCCTAAAAACGACACAAAGCATCATCCACGACACCAGATTACCAAATGCCTCCTCAAGCTTAGCTAGTTTCGACTTCTTTCCAGTTCAATCCCGTAAAATTCTCAAAACAGATAAACCCACCGTCTACACCACGCTTTATAAAGTGTCCGCACCGGAAGGAAGTGGCAGTACGAATGGAAATATGTGACAGAAGCGGACAATCGAGCTATACTAGTATAGCTCAATTGTCCGCTAGTGATCCCACCATGACAAACTTGCTCGGCACAAGCAAAATTGAAGAACATGAACTAGAATGATTTTTCGAAATCAAGACACATACATACAACTTCATGACTGAAGTTAGCTCAGGACTGTGGACCCGAGTTCTGACTCTGACCGCTCGAAAAATACAACAAGCGTGCAATTGACTGCACGTATCCATTAACCAGGCCAAAATTGGCATGGCGAAAGTCCATGTCGCTAGAGTTTTGCGTCACGTCTACGGCTACTTTGTCTGCTCTCTTCTCAATTTCTTTGCTCTCTCAGAAGCGCGCGTATGCAGCGCAACCCCCGCGCCAAATCTAAACAACAATTTGGCCTGATTTCGGTGGGAACAAACTCTATGAACAATCGGTAAAATAGTAGAACAATTTGAAACAAAAAACAGACTTCTATCAATATGCTTCTGACTAGATCATAATGGCTGGCTTTGAATTCTGACTAGATCATGATTTCTGTGTACGCTTGAAAGTCATATTTTGAAGCTTGCTTCGCTTTATGGAGGCTGCCCCATATTTCCTGCTTAATGTTCGATTATCTGTGGCTTGGAAATGGCATTAATTCCTGATGATATTTTTTACCTGTTTTTCCTGTGTTACGCGGTAAGAAAGAGATTCAATTTCTCTATAATTTCTATAAGCTGCAGTGAGTGAATGGCTCTGTCTGGTGTGTAGTTCCAGTGATCGGCGTTTACTGAAGAGCTGAGTGGAGCAGAGAGTAATTTAATAGCAATGTCCGTGCAAAAACTCAATTTCTAAATTCTTTGCTTTCCAAGGTTTACCCGTTACTCTGTCGAAAGCCTATCTCGGAAAGCGCGAAAAAGGTAGAAACAGGGTTTTCTACCTTTTTTCGCGATAGAAAACCCTGTTTCTACCTTTTTCGAGGGATTTTTCAAAGCCCTTCACTCTTGGTATGGATGAGTGGAGCAGTTTCCGCCGAAGCTGAGACGCAAAATCGACCTATCTAAACCTATAATCCTCATTGTAGCAACATGCGCACTCTGGCTTGCGGCTCGAAATCCGCTAGTGGACGGGGCTTTCCCGCTAGGGCGTAAGTCCTTGAACTTCCCAAGAGGATTCCTCGTTTCTGCTCCAGCATTAAGCGCACTTGTGCGAAAGAGTGTCATTTACACCTACATGTAGCTAAAGTCCCACATCCTCCACCCTTACCCGAGCAGTGCCTTTGATGCGAAACGCAATCACGCACAAGAATAACGCTAATGATGTCTTTGTTTTTCAAATGATTTTAAGGGCAACAGGAAATAAGATAAACTACAGAGTGTTCAAATTCAAAAATGCAATCATCTTTCAAATAGACAATCAACTTACTCACTTCAGCAATATGGCAGTTGAATCTTCTAGGATGAACCCATTTGCGTATTGAAACTGAAACCTTCCTCTGGAGGAATTGAATCGATGCAAGCTGGATGCATGAGAAACAGCGAATACAATGAGGAAAATATTACGTCGTGCAAAAACGGGACTAACGGTTGGTAATGATGATATGATGTCTTTATCAACGTATGAGCTACACATCATCACACATATTGGGTTGTCCTGAAACGGTCACCAAAATTTATGAAACACTGATCGTTGTTCGACTTGGGTATTTGATCTAATTTTCTCTTTGTGATAGCTATATTTTGATATACGCAGCTCACGCCGTTTTATCGTCATGGTTCTAGATGCAGTCCAGGGCTCAGCACGAAGGTGGCAAATGATGGACATCGGTGGAATGACTTCGCCTTTGCCACTATCGATTTCTACAGTTTCCCATTTGATCCCGTCAGCTGCATAGGTTGTTCGATTGGAACCTTTCTTTCTCCGAAGCACTGGCGCACTGGCGTCCTTGCTATTCCGTATCCTAACAAGGGAGAAAAGGAGTTTAGGAAAAAATGTTACTATACACTAAACTTAGGTATAGAACAGATTTATGTAAAAAAATTTGAAAAACTTATGTGAATTGGAAGTTTTGCCTACCTCAGGTGGCATTGGGTAGGCATGCCCACCTAATTTTAAAAAGTCAAGCACGTTCTCTATTCATATAGTTTTTCATGAATATTCATACTTTGTCCCTTAGTTCCACAGCTTACACACAGACAAGTTTCGTGCCATATCGTCATGCGTTGCAAACGACTCATATTATCATTTTGTGGTAGTGGACAATTTTTACAAAAAAGCTTTCCGCAATCTTTAGTCACATAGAGTGTTAATGATACTTCTCAGTTGACTTCTACAGGCCCGTGTCCATGTATAGTTGTACGAAGTTTTGTGATATACTGTCAACTCTTTGCAAAGAAGCCATTCTAATTCACATCTTCACTCGCAAGTTATGAGAAATTTTTGGAATAAAAGCTTAGCATGCCCTCCATTCACATAAATCTTTCATAATTATAAATACCTTGTCCTCACTAGCCTATTTTCGTTCGTTTATGCAATTTGCTGCCGTATAGTTATGCGTGCATCGAGAATTAGTCATGTATGGTTTTCCAACTTGCAATGGTTAAGCACGTCGCGCGTGCGGCAATCAGCGACGGCGCAATTTGACGCGCGCGGAAGCTCAATCAGTGGGAAAGCCCAGAATTTTTGCCATTTTAACTATCAATTTTTTGTGGGTCTCCGCAAAATCGGTATCCTTTTTACTTTTTTCCACTGAAACATTTCCAGCTTGTCATTTGCACACCTCGTGCCGGCCACGGGTGCAGTCTTACAACGTCAATATTTCTTTAATTTCACACATTTTCATCGCAACATTTTGGAAAAACTTCGAAAGCTTGGACATGCAACTTACCTTTTTACAAATTTGCGTTAAGCTTACTTTTTGTTTGCATAGTTCGAGGGAGTGGCCAAATGTCGAAACACTGATTTAAAGCAGATCAAACTTGGTCGCTCTACAGCAATGTTGACCAGTAAAAGATTAGGGGGTAGGGGAACTTACCTACCCCGGAAGGTTTGCCGCTACGTAGTTAGCAGAGTTCATGTGAGGGTTCACGAATTGGACGCTGATTTACATCCAATTTGCACCGAAGACGAGCTGATTTTACCCACGGTAACTCCGCCACCATCTTACAGTGTACGAAACCGGTGTCGAAATTCGAATGCAAACTTCAGTAGTGAGTCTAAACAAGACAAAGATATGTAGCTAGGGGTATTTTGTCGTGCTGCATCCGTTTCTGCTTTTGAATACGATGGTGGTTCTGCTTAAAACCTTCGAATTTTTATCTCATACGAGCTGGCTTACCCGGCACCGTCCGGCCCTGTCAATGCTATGATTAAGGTTTTATCCCTATCCCTGTAGAACCTTTCATTGTGCCCACTTCTACATGCAATTCTCTATTCCCGCTGTGTTAGTGATTAGCATGCCCACCTACCTCCCTCAACAACCCCCAGCCCGTAGCTCAAACTTTGCAAAAAAAAGCAATAAAACCGGTAAAAGTAAAGATAATTCTGAAAACTGATGGCGCTATTCGGCTATCCGGCCCCAAAATGTTTTTGTGATGGAAAAAGTCGGTACATGGGGGTTATTAGAGCCTCTGATGACGAATATCGTAGTCATTTCGCGCGATATAGCGCTATTTTCTGGGTTTACGTTGGGTAACATAAGAAGCTAAAATCATGGATTTCGCTGAAACTTTGAGGGGGGGGGGCTAATTGACACTGGGGCTGATTACAAATATCATACTCCTTCTGCATTTTGAGGCGATTTCACTGAGTTATGGTAGGTACACTGTAGAGGGGCAAAATCTCACTATTGGCTGAAACTCGATCTAGAGAGATTCGACCTTCTGACCACGTCTAAAACACTCTCGTTGCGTTTTGAGACCTCTTCGCAGAGTTACGGTAGGTACATGGCAGCAAGCAAAAATCATGAACCTGCCTGAAACCTTGGCAGAAAATTACCTAAAATGCTGTTTCAAGAATATCGTGCTCACTCCCCACGATAAAGGCAATGGTATAAAAGTTTCCCACGATCGTAATGCTTTCCCTTATAGGACCATTGCCGCGCGCGAGACACCCTTCGGCGGCTTTTGCCTAAGCAAAAACAGGGGGAGGGAGATTTGCCGCGTGCGTTACGCGTTGGGACAGGTTATCAGGATGGCGCTGGGGACCGCCATGCCAATCGTTTCCCCATCTCTTAAATATCTGGGATCTAAATTGGCCCGAAAGCGAAAAAATGTCCATTCAAACCCTTCAACTCACCATAATTTCACTATTGGTTATGACAGCGAGCAAGCATCATCTTCATAAGCGATATACTTGTGAACCGTTACAGGTAAGGTTTTGAGCAAATTTGGAACTTCGACCCATCTACACCCACCGTAACCCAAGAAAATGCACTATCCTGCGAAATCAGCATGATATTCATGTTCAGCGCGTTAAATGACCACCCTAGACGAAGTTTAAAGCCTATGTCTTCGTCCCCATGCCATATAACCACCACAACTCGCGCCTTTGCTCCCATTGACCCGGCACTGAGCGGTCTACCTCAAACCTTTTCGACTTCTGAAGATTCCCCTTCTCCTGTTCGACTATTATTAGGTGCTGATGACTTTTGAGACCCCAATATACCCGCTCGCCACCTCAGAGAGGAAGAAAAAGCGAAGGATTGAGTTCGAAGCGACGCCGCCCAAGTTCGACCAGGCAGCCGAGGAACTACTGAAGGACGAAACGGTACCAGTCTATGCACGAACAACTCTTGCCTTTCTATTGGAGAATCGGAAGTTGTGCGAGGTTGCAGCGGAGCAAAATCGTGAGTTGGTTTGTCAGATAAAGAATATGTCTGACGAAATCGAATCTCTTCGCAAAGAAAACGATCGATTGAGATCACTTATTGAGCGCACGTCTGCGGAGCCCGAATTAGCCACCCAATTCTCTTCTACCTCGACATCTGCAAAACTCTGCACTTGTGATGAGCGCGAAAGATTGCATTCTCTAGTTATTAGTGGCGTACCAGAAAATCGTGCACCACATAGCTGGATGAGAATCAATTATGATTATCAATGTGTTGATCAGATTCTCGATTTTCTTTCAATTGAGTGTAGGCCGTTGACAGTTTATAGAATGGGAGAACCCAAAAGAATTTTGACAGACTAATGAAAGTGGTGTTGCCTACTAGATTCTTTGTTGAGCTTGTGTTGAAAAGAGCTCCTAAATTAAAATATTCCCTTACAAACCAAATATCTTCATCCGTCGATCTCTTCCAAAGGAAGAGAAAGACAGGATGCGTAAGGAGAGGAGCATGCGGTTCAACACAAGGAGTTCAGATCATCAATCGATACTAACAAATGACGTCAATTGTATTGATCAAAATACTTTGTCTCAGCAAGTTGATCGTAGCACGCCGAGATCAAATTCTTTAAACGTCCATTGACTCCTCAGATTGGGGGTAGCCTCTCAAACTGTATATTAGCCAATGCAGTTCTCTTTGGTAGGTGCCAGAGTAAGCGAATATTTTGTTCAAGTTGGGGTCCGGCGCAGAATTGACGTCACTTGGATTGACGCCAGTATGATGAGTGATGTCCATTCTGTGCGGGACCCCAACCTGAACAAAATATTCGCTTACTCTGGCACCTATGTTTGTAGTAATATAGATCGCCTTAAGTTTGTCATGGAGAATTGCGACACATCCATTGCGGCAATTACTGAAACTTGGTTAAATGATACTGTGCTAAATAGCTCCCTTTTTGGCAACTTAATCAAGGACTATGAATTGTACAGATGCGATCGCATAGGTAAGAGAGGAGGAGGGGTACTCTTGGCTGTAAATAAGAAGTTTGATTCATTTCTTGTGTTTAGAGAGTCTGTACTGGAAAGTTATGAATTACTATGTTGTGATGTTATCTCCCATGCTCGTTTAAGATTGGTTTTGGTCTACCGTGCACCCTCTTGTCCCCCTGCTGGCACCGAACAATTGATAAGAGCCCCCACAGACTTACTGGCTAGTTCCAAAAGCACCATTCTCATGGGAGACTTCAACTTTCCAAAATGTAAATTGGGTAGACCCCTCCAAATCGAAAGATGTTTCACTCGCTGCTAAGGACTTCATTCGAATGTGTATGCTTCACTGTTTAACTCAGAAAGTGGGGTCACATATGCTTGGCCAACACGTATTGGACCTCATTTTCACAAATGATAAGGATGTGTTGAGAGATATAAGTGTGGAACCCCCCTTGGGAAAAGTGATCATGCTTCAGTCTGTTTTCGGGTGAATCATTATAAATCACAAGATGCGGGGTATGTTATGTAGAGGGATTTCAAAAATATGGATCTAGATGGAGTGAGACAGCATCTTAGTGGCCTAGACTGGTACGGTTCATTCAGAACTGTTTCCACAGTCAATGAAATGTATGAAAGTTTCTCAATATACTTTATCATACTATGGAAAGCTATGTTCCCTTGGCAGAGAGTTCTTTCCGGAGTGTGAAAATACCTCATTACCTTCAAAGATTTTATCAAATGAGGGAACAAGCATGGAAGCTGGCAGTACTA